CTAGAAGATTTAGTTATTATTTTTATTATTATTTGCTACAGTGGGGATTTGAACCCAAGACCCAAAGCTTATAATGCCTTCACTTAAGCATCTGGGCAACTTAACTTTGCTTGAGATATTAGGATTTTAATTTATCTTTATTTCCTGCAATGAGACAAACTCATAAACTTAAGTTGTATTAAACATTTGGAAATTCAGAATGAACGTACGTAATATTCAGAATCACTTTGTGAGTTGTTGCTCTGCTAGGGTTCTTCCTTGCATCACTTGATCTTATCAAGAATTATTCGATTCTTGTGGCGATCCTTCTTGGCTTATCAAATATTCTTATTTGTGGCGCCTATGGTATCCTTTATTTTTTTCTGTTTTCTATTTCCAATCAAATCAACTCTTAAAACCTAACCCTAAATTGTTTCCCTTCTATTTGAGTGTCATCAATTCTCGTGACAAGAGCAAATACTTCATCATAGTCAATTCCCTCCTTTTGTCTATAGCCCTTCACCACAAGTTGAGCCTTGTAACGTTCAACCTCTCCCTCAACATTCATCTTCTTTTTGTACACCCATTTTACTCCAGTGGGTTGAGCTCCTTTAGGAAGGTCAGTCAGTTCCCAAGTTGTTACGTTCAATCACTCCAATCTCCTCATCCATGGTTGTTCTCCACTTCTCATCTTGGACAGCTTTCTCAAAACTCAAGTCTTCAGAGTCAACCAAAAGATATACAACATAAACTTCATTTGTAGTGTCGTATATTTCCTGCAAACTTCTCATCTTGGGCTGTTGTGGCTCTATTTCTTTATCTGAGGACTCAATGATTTTTATTGTTGAAGGCACAACAATTTCTGAACTAGTTTCTTCTTCTGTCGGGTTACTCCAGCACCAATGTTTTGTTTCTTCCACATGAACATCTCGGCTTACCACCACTTTATTATTAATAGGATCAAATAATTTATACGCTTTAGATTTTCCATCATACCTGATAAATATGTACTTCTTACTCCGATCTTCTAATTTAGTCCTATGCTGACTTGGTACTTGCCCATAGGCCACGCTACCAAAACACCTTCAGATGAGAGACACTCGGCTTCATACCACTCCATATCTCCTGAGGCGTCTTCTCTCCTAGACTTGCATGTGGACATCTATTTTGCAAATAGACTGCGTACTGCACCGCCTCTACCTAAAACTTCTTTGACATATTCACTACAAGAAAATCGCGTATTACCGACGGATTTATAGCCATCAGAAAATAATCATTACCGACAGAAATTACCGACGGATATAAAATATTTGTGGAATTTGATGTTACCGACGGACTATTTATCGACAACCGAATTTCTGACGGACTATTGGCCATCGGAATTCCGTCGGTAATTTTAATATTTCTTGTAGTGATTCTTCCCTTTCAACATAGATCGAACCATATCAAGAATGGTTCGGTTCTTTCGTTCCGCTACACCGTTTTGCTGCGAAGAATATGGGAAAGTCAGGAAACGTTTGATCCCATGTTCCTCACAGTATTTGTTGAACTTAGTAGAAGTGAACTCACCTCCTCTGTTCCTCTGTTAGATCGGATGACTTTGATAACTTTGCTTGTTTCTCTCTCCACCATAACTTTGAATTTCTTGAAAGTTTCAAACACTTTTGACTTCTCCTTCAGAAAATAAGCTCATGTTTTCCTTGAAATCATCAATGAAAGAGACAAAGTATCTCTTACCACTGAAAGATTCTAGAGTTATTGGTCCACACAAATCAGTATGGATCACTCCGAGTTGTTGCTTTGCTCGACACTCAGAACTTCTTGGGAAAGAAGTCCTCGCTTGCTTCCCAATCACACATTCTTCACAAAACCTTTTTTCGAATTCCATTTTAGGCAATCCGAGCACCATCTCCTTTTTCACCAGCGCAGTCAACCCACCAAAGTGAAGATGATCAAACCGCAAATGCCACTTCATGGCCTCATCCTCCATATCAAATTGCATACATTTATCTTGAACTGTTTTCAGCTCAAGTTTGTATATGCGATTTTTCTTCATTTCCACCAAAGCAACAAGTCTCCCTATTTTATCCTTCAGTTTTAGTTATCGGTCCTTCATCAGAACTGAGTACCCCTTCTCCATTAACTGTCTCATGCTCAATATGTTGCTTTTGAGATCAGGTACGTAGTATACATCTCTAATCTTCCCGATTTGTCCATTTCTCTGTTGATACCATATCGTTCATTGACCTTTGACAGCTACTTTCGAAGCATCACCGAAAGAAACAGATCCGGACTCCACCTTTGAAAGTATTTTGAATAAGCGCTCATCACCACACATGTGGTTATTAGCGCTGGTGTCTAAGTACTAAACCAAGTTATTAGAACAGTTCGGTTTGATCTCAGTTTCTGAAGTGTTTGTCAACATTAACAATCCTTCATCTTCTTCCTCAGCAAGAAAGTTTGTTGGTTGCTCCTTTTTTTTCTCAAACCTACAATCTTTGGAAATATGACCCAGTTTTCCACAATTATATCATTTTACAGAGTAATCGTCCTTGACAACATGTCCATTCTTTCCACAATTATAGCATTTTACCGAGTAACAATCCTTGACAATATGCCCATTCTTCCCACAATTATAGCATTCAATATTGTTTGTGTTTGTCCGGCCACCCCGAGCCTGTCCTTGGCCACGCCAATTCTGTTGACCGTCTTGCTGATTTCCTCGTCATCCTTTTCCTCTACCACCACGACCTCTGCCTTTTCCTCGGCCTCTGGTACTCTGAGCATAGAGCACCTTCTCCTCTTTTATTGTCACCTTTTCCTGGAGAGTCTGTTCAAGGGACTCCCCCTTCTTGTTTTTCCTTCTTTGCTCATGCGCTTATAGGGACCCAGCAAGCTCTTCAAGGGTGAGCGTTTCCTCTATTGCGCACACGATGTTCTCAAAATCATCTGTCAATGATCTCAAAATTTTTTCAACAACTCGGTTTGATGAAAGACTCTCACCATTATGATTCAGCTTGTTCACCACGGTCTCCACCCGAGTAATGAACTCGGATGCGCTTTCAGGCTCTTTCATCCTCATGTTTTTAAGCTCGCCCCTAAGGGTTTGAAGTCGAACTTGTTTCACCCTTTCATATCCTTTGTTTGTTTTTTCAAGTGTATCTCATGCTACTTTAGAAGATTTTGCGTTAGCTATCTTCTCAAAGCCAGATTCGTTGACGGCTCGGTATAGTAGATACAAAGCCGCCTTGTCTTTAGCTCGAACGACCTTCAATGCGTTCAGTTGGGCATTTGAATACCCATCTGTGTTCGTCGGTTCCTCATACCCATTCTCGACCACATCCCAGTTATCTTGGGAGCCTAAAAGAGCCTTCATTTGTACCTTCCAGTTGTCATAGTTGGTGCCTTTCGTCAACTTGGGTAGCGGGATGTCATTGGTTAGACCTGCCATTTCCTTTCAAGTGTTTGTACTCAATTCACACATCTCACAAAGTTTTGAGTCGCTCTTCTCTCTTTCTAAGCCAGCACACACTGCAGCGTTCTCTCTTGAGGCTTGGTGGACTCTCTCACACTCACCTCACACATAAGCTCTGATGCCAATTTTTTGATAACAGGAAAATAAAACAACGCTCTCAATTTTCTTCTGATGCAATTTCAAATGAGTTGTTACAATTATTTATGGTCAAAATATTTGTTTCTTCAAATGTCAAACGTAAATCATAATACCTATTAAATAGGTTTACAACTCATTGGTTATACCACTCGTAATTAAAACCATTAATATTATTGTAGGAATACTAAACGTCTAATTTAAGGTTTACAATACTACTTGCATACTTGCTTATTCGTATCTTAAACCCTAGTATATTCTTTTTTTGCTTGTTCCCATATTTTGTTGGATACTACTTACATACTTGCTTATTCGTATCTTAAACCCTAGTATATTCTTTTTTTGCTTGTTCTCATATTTTGTTGGATACGTGAATGATGACAGCTAGTGGATCATCTTTTGACGGTGGACAAGAAATTGGAAGGGAACATGAAGAACGTTAGCATAATGATGCAGGTGGTAGAAGGTTGAGCGGTTGGGTAAGTGATCATTTTTTTTTATTATGAACTAAGAGCAACCTGACAAAACCTAAAATACAAGAAGGAATCTGGAAAATGTTTTTACACTTGCCTTTTACCTAAGGTGTTCCTCTTCTTTTTTTGTATGTAATATCTTTTACTATTGTAATGGTGTTAAAATAATATAATAATATGAGTATTTTAATTTTGGTTCCAGGAGAAACCAATTGTGAATATTCTACTTGGCAACAATTGGATGTGAAATGCAATCAATTGATGATAATGAAGTTGATAGAATATATCGAGTTTACGTGCGTGTGAAGTTGGACAGGATAACTAACTACTTAAGATTAGGATGTGTTTTTGATGTATATAATTAGTTTGACACTCTAGTTATTGTTGGTCATGTGTGGCAAGGCGTAACTATTTATTGGGAAGCAGGTGTAGTTTCTTCTGAAGGAAATTCTTGCAATATAGTTTGTTGTAATGCAGTGACGAATGAATGGAAATTCTTAGGTTTTGGTTATTTAATATATCAGTTTACCTGTTGCATTTATTTCAATAGGAATAACTTGTCGGCATTGTTTTGATTTCACTCACAATAACAAAAGTAAAACAGCATTAGACGCAGCTACTCGAGTCGATTGAAATGCAAGTAATTTTCCCTTTCGACAACGAACATTTGTCAGCAATTGCAGGTTTCCAAATCAAGTCCTAACCAGTCACAATCAAGTCCTAATCAGTCAACACCCAAAACACAAAATTGTTACTTGAACTCATAAACCCCACATTCTACTTTACCTAGTGAATCCATTTACATTGTAGCATTGATTCACTCAAATTTGGTAGCCTAATTACATTTGCAAGGAAAATAGCCTATCATAACTATAGCCTGCATCATGCCCATCATTCAGTCCTTCAAGGAAAATAGGAATGATGATATATTTGGCACTCTAATGGCCAATATGTACTTGAGATCCATTAGATATTACACTTCCAGAGGTGTTTCCCATCATTTTGACACTACTACTCTCCAATCCACTTTTAAGCCAAGCAAGGTTACTAATGTCTGTAGCAATTGCAGCCAACGCAAAACTTGGAAAAGATGCGGGTTCAGAAAATTCAGTGAATTCTGGTCCCAACAAAGAGCCTTCGGACTTTCTCGCATTTGGAGCAGCACAGCAACCATGGCCACACTGGAGAGGCACTGATTGGTCACCACAAATTCCCTCAAGCATTTTACAAAATTCGATATCAGATTTTGATGATTGTAAAATGGGTCCTTGCAGCGGAACAGGTCTTTGAGTTGATGTTGAAGGCTGTATACCATCATATGAGTGATATACACTGAAAGCACTGACGCGCGCTACTGGTCGGAAAAGTGTAGGTGGACCGTTGACTTCGTGGTGTAATTGACACTCAGCTTGTGCTTTGTCATCAGATTTATCACCCACGATCTCCACAGAACTGACATCTCTTACATCTCTCGCTTCTGAGGATTTCAAAGAGACATCCCCACATGATAGTGTCTCTTCCGAGGATGCTTTTGCTTTCTCCAAGTTAACATCTTCCATGAAGTTGCCAGATTCTAATTTAATTTTATCAAGTTCAACTCCCCGACGCCTCAAAGTGGAATTCCAGTGGTTCTTAATGGCATTATCTGTTCTTCCGGGTAGAAGCCTGGCAATAGCTGCCCATTTGTTCCCATGGATTGCATGAGCAGCTACTATAATGCGGTCCTCCTCATCTGAAAAGAATTGTATTTGGTTAAGCCTGTATCTTTAGGAAATTGGTATGTTAAGATTTAATAAATGAAATCACGAAATTTCTAACCAAATACATCATAATTTAATTACCAACATAATACAATGCAATAAATGTTTCCTGTACATTGGATTTATTAAGCTTGTTTCAGAGGCCCCCATTTATAGCTTCAATTTCCCCGCTCCTGCTTTTCATTCTCATCTTTTTATATACTTTCATTATCGGCGTATCAGAGACTTAGCCTAAATAGTAGGATCGGTGCAGAAATCAGATTTGATAGTTTTAAGAAGCTGGCCAGTAGCTCAGTAGTAAAGAACGCCCTTGAAGAGGAAATCATTGGGAGGAGGATTACGTCCTTTGGTCTCTGATTCAGTTAACCATTACAGAAGTGTTCTTTCTCTCTTCTCAAATTCTCATACCTCATTCTAAAACCTAAGAAGTTTTATGTTGCGTTGGGTCTCTAACAAATTTAACCCAAATGCCAGGTCCTCCCTTATTATGAGTGACATGGAACACAGTACAGAAGCTTTGAATAAGGGGAGTGCTTGAGAAAGTGAACCAATAATCACAGGATGCAATTACTTTCTATGGCTTCTAACTCGGAACATTCAGACAAATATGGTTGTTACTGAAGAAATTTCCCAAGCAGCGAATAAGTGTATACAGAAACAGGGCACATGCATCAGCCATGCATCCCCACTACCAGGAGAAATATCTATTTATGAGATACATCAGCCTTGCATTGTGCGATCTTTCTGTAAACTATAAATTTCTTCCCCGTTCTTTATAGTAAAGGCAGTTTTCCTTCTGTGACTCTGGTCCAGCTCCTATCATCAACCCACATTAATGATCAAGGAGGAGTCCGACAGCAAGTTGTTTGGGTTCTTGAGAAAGAAGACATAAGATTTGATATAGAAAATTTTGGCAGTGGCCATGGTTCAAAAGTTCCCAAGAAGACGTTTGTATAGTTTGTGTGAAACATTAGCTACCTTGCGGTAAATGGATTTATTGATGTGCATGCAAGATTTTGGATCTTGGTGAGAAGGGCAAAACACAGTGGGAAGGATGTGGAGTGAGGACACCATCTTATCTTAGTCCCCCAATTTCAAACTAGTGGACAACCCAACAAGGTTTAAATATGAGAGGTTGACATTGATAGGACCAGGAGAATAGCTGGTTAGAGTAGTTATAGAATTGATCAGGCTGCTAAAGTTGACAAGATTATGGACTTGGCTTAGGTAGAAGAGGAAGCATTCATATTCTTGAAAATCAACCAGCAGCTCAGTTGAACCATGGAAGGGTGATTCACTACTTTGGTCTCCATTTGTGAATCAGTAAACAAATACATAAGTGTTCTATCTCTTAAATCTATAAAATTTACCACCTTAAACCTGTAGTCTCCAAAGAGATCTAGCACTACCTGATATAAATTCATTTAACTTGATGGGCCATCATTTTAGCTAGATCACTGCATTATAGGAATATATACATGCAGTGAGTGGAATGAATAATCTCACATTGCATTCTCAGAATTTGGCCTTAAAAGGAAATTATTTAATAAAAAAATATAGGGTTTAACTGTGGTTTAAAAACAGTCCACAACTACAATTGTGCCAGAAACATAAATTTTTTTGGTTCATCACGGCCACATTGCGCCTGCAATAGCGACTACATCAACCACATTTTCCCACAATATCAAGGATCATGACAAAATCACAATTGTGACTGCAATTGGAACTAAACAAAAACAAATAAAAAGCGCTCAGGAACCAAGGACATTTTATTTAACCATTATGACAAATAGGATTCTTAGTTCAAACTACAAAACCTAATAAACACAGTAGCCTACACTGCCAAAACCGTTTCAAGTTCAAGATACAGATAATCCTCGACACACACCAACCACACAACTAAAACTACAACCCCAACAACAAAAATCAGTCAGCAAGTAATAGTCATACCCTATAGCCAATATTAACTACCGACCACCATTTCAATGTTGACAACATGATAATTCATAAATTAGCAGTAGGCAAAAGCTATGGCTTATTCACGAAGAAACAATAATGCACGCAGCAAATGCAAAGGTTCAAGAAAATTCAAAAAACGAACCACATAACCATCACACTTTAAAAGCAAAAGATCCTACATAAAACATTGTGACAAGAAAATAAAAACTCATTTCATTCCTGCATTCACATCCCCAATTTCCAAAACATTCAAATTAAATCAAACGGAAACAAAATCAAATTCAAATGCAAACCAACGCAAGGTACCCAAATCGATCACGTACCGGTGAATGGTTTGCGCTTAACGGAAGGGTCGAGCTGATTGCACCACCGGAGCCGGCACGACTTGCCGGATCTTCCGCTGATCCCGCGCGCGATGAGGCTCCAGTTTCTGGCGCCGAACCTGCTCACCAGGCGACTCAGAATGGCGTCCTCTTCAGGCGACCAAGGACCCTTCACCCTGTCCCTGCCGCCACCGCCGTCCCCGCCCTCTAAACTAAGCAGTCCCTCGTCGCCGCTTCCGTCAACTGCGGTGACGGCTGTTTCTTCCGGTTCCATTGGTGAGGTTAGTTAGGAAGTGAAGAGTGTAGGAAGAAAAGACAGTAGAAAACATAACGCAAAAGTTTAGGCATTTTCTTTTGTTACAATTTTACCCTTCTCTCTCTTTTTTCGATTACGTCTAATGATGTATTCTCAACGGAACTGAATCTTCTACATTTGACTGCACATAACGCTATTTATTTTTCATCCATGAGTATTTTTCATCTATGAGTATTATTCTTACAATGAATTTTTATGTTTTATTTTAATATAAAATAAAATATTTGAGTGGATGAAATTTGTGCTGTTAAAAAACAACGTCAATTTTCAACATTTCATCCATAACAATATTTAAAAAAAAAACAAAATTAATTTTTTTATTATTTAATATATTATTTATCTTAATTTGATATACTTTTTCAATTATATATTTATTAATTTTTTCTTAAATAAAATTAATAAAAAAGTATCATTTTTCTTTCCCAATGAATTACATATTTTCTCTATATTTCCTATTCTTCGCTTAAAAGTCATTCCAACATTTATTTATATTTAACAATATATAATTTTAGGAATAAATATCTTTCAACTTTTTGATTTTTTTCTTAAACAAAAAATTATTTTTTCCCTCTCTTTTTAAAACACTTTACTTTTTTAATAAAAATGTGGACACGGACAAAACGCCTAGTTTAATATAATTTTTTTCTTTTGCCGATTTTTTTAAGGTTGGATATTTTTATTTGAAGTTATTTTTGAGAGAGATTTGATGGAGATGTTAAAATGGGTGGTCCAGATCAGTTTATCCGATTTACAAGTAAAAAATATATAAAAATTAATAATCCAACTTAATATATATTTTGAAATGAATCGTATCATATCAATGATTAAATTACCAATTTTTTATTAATTTTAATATATATATATATATATATATGATTAAAAAATATTGATATAAAAATATATTTTTAAAATTTAAATTATATTAATAAAATTAGTTTTTATTTAATATATAAATTCAATATCAAAATTAAATTAAAAATTTATTTTTTATTATCATTATTTATTTTTTAAAATTAAATTAAAATTTATTTTTTAATATTATCCTCACTACAAGAAAAATCGCTTTTAGCGATCGAAAAAATCGATCGCTAATGGCCAAAATTCGATCACTATTCCGTTAGCGATCGAAATTAGCGACCGAAATGGTTGGTCGCAAAAGGGCAAATCGCTAAGTTGTTAGCGACCGATTTACATTTCGGTCGCTAAATAGCGACCGATCTGGTGGTCGCTAAAGTGGTCGCTAAATAATTTGGTCACTTATTCATTGGAGACCAAAATAGCGACCGAATTAAGTGGTCAGCTAAATCTAGTCGCTAAATCCGTGGTAAAGTTTTAAAAAATAGCGACCAATATATTCTAGTCGCTAATATATTAATATAATTATTTAAATAATAATTAAAATCGGTTAGCTAAATAGCGACCGAAATGAAAATCGATCGCTAAATCAATGACAAAGGTAAAAAAATAGCGATCGATTTAAATCGGTCACTAAATCAATGAAAAAGTTAAAAAAATAGCGATCGATTTAAATCGGTCGCTAAATCAATAACAAATTTAATTATTTTTATTTATTTACATTTTTATTATATTTATTATTTATTTTCCCTACCTCTTAATTATATTATATTTTTTAGAAGTTTAACTTATTATTAGGTGATTTATTGTCATTGTCGAGATTCGAACCCGTACCTTAGAGTTGGAGGTTGAAACTCCAACCACTGAGCTACTAGGATCTTTTAATAATAACTTACAAATAAATTATATTTATATACAAATAAATGTATATCCGTATAAATATATAAATATAAAATCTATAAATAAAAGTATATTTATATATTTTAATATATATTTAAATATTGATATATTTATATATTGATATATTTATATCTTTATATCTTTATATTTTTACATATATTTATACTTTTATATATTTATATCTTCATATTTTTACATATTTTTATATCTTTTCATATTTATATATAAAGATATTAGTTTTCTATATAAATAATATTATAATATAGTATATTATACTATTAGTATAGTATACAAATAATATATTAGTATAGTATAGTATACAAATTATTAATTTTGTAATTTATATACAATGAAAATAATATAATGGTATATTAGTATAGGATAGTATATTTGTATTCTAATTTTTAATTAAATTAAAATTATGCTAATAATGTATATTAATATATGAGGGGATAATATTGATATATTTGTATATATATATATATATATATTTATATATTTATATATTTATATATTTATATATTTATATATTTATATATTTATATATTTATATATTTATATATATTTATATATATATATATATTTATATATTTATATATTAATATATTTATATATTAATATTTTGATATATTTATATATTGATATATTGATATATTTATTTATATCCTTATACATTTATATCTTTATATATATTTATATATTTGAAAAAAAAATATTAAATTTTAAAAATAATATTATATTTTTAAAAATAAATATTAGAAAAAGATTTAAAAATATATATATAAATTATATTTACATGTACAAAATATTAAAGATATATGTTTATATCTTTACATATTTATATATATTTATATGTTTATATTTTTACATATATTTATATCTTTCCATATTTATATATTTATATATAAAGATATTAGTTTTGTATACAAATAATATTATAATATAGTATATTATACTATTAGTATAATATACAAATAATATGTTAGTATAGTATAGTATACAAATTATTAATTTTGTAATTTATATACAATGAAAATAATATAATGGTATATTAGTATAGTATATTTGTATTCTAATTTTAAATTAAACTAAAATTACGCTAAATGTATAATAATATATGAGAGGATAATAAATTTAATCCAATTACTTTTATAAAATCTATAAAATATTAAAAATGATATTATATTTTTAAAAACAAATATTAGAAAAAGGTTTAAAAACATGTATAAATTATATTTATATGTCCAAAATATTAAAGATATCCACATTTAAAACAATATTAAAAAATATTAATAATAAATTTAATTCTTTAAATTTAGTATTTAGAAACTAAAATTATAGTTTCTCTGTTTTTAAAAAATTAAAATAACTATTTAAAAATAAAAATCAAAACTAGTATTATCTTAAATTTATTAAAAGTGTAATTAAATCTCTATTTTCTTAATTTTATTTGTTTCAAACATCTCAATTCTACATTTTTGTAAGTTCTATCATTATATTATCATCCTCATCTCCTCCCATGTTCTACTTTATCTTTACAATAGTCAATATTCTTAACTAATTTATATTTTTATTTATAATTTTTTAGTATATATTTCAGAAATTAATCAATTCTAATCTATTCTTTGAAAAACTAATCAATTCTAATCAATAATTTATAAAACTAATCGATTATAATTAATTATTTGAAAAAATTATCAAATATGATCGATCATTTCAAAAATCTGATCGATCAGAGAAAAAATCGCTCGAGCGAGACTAGAGTCGCTCAAGCGAAATACAACCCGAGAATGCCAATTTTGTGCAGGGGCGTTTCGCTCGAGCGATTTTATTTTCAGCTTGAGCGAATAAGACTTATAATAGCGGTTAACGCTTAACCGCTATCTAAAATATGATTAAGATAGCGGTTAACCCATAACCGCTATCTAAAATACATTTTAGATAGCGGTTAACCCTAACCGCTATTATATCCTCTCAATTATGATCGATTATTTCAAGGTATGATCGATCAGAATCTTATTTCGCTCGAGCGAGAGTACTCGTCGCTCAAGCGAAATACAACCCGAGAATTCACAATCTTAAAATATTTTTTTGAATATTATGTTTTTAAATTTGCTATTAGAGAAAACCTTTCAGAATTCAAAATGTTAAATAGTTTTAAATATTAAAATTAACTTTATCAAAAATTAGGAAAAAAAATTTATCCAAAAGAGTTCAAAAATGTATAAGAGTATTCTCAATTTTGAGTTTAATTATATTGTTCATTCTCAAAGTAGAAAATTATATTGTAATTATTTTAATTTACATTTTGTGATCTTCTTAAAATTAACATCAATAACATTAGACTTTACATTTGATTCATACCTAACTAATTATAGATTAAAAGGAAAGTGGTATAACCATGCATTTTACTTTTCTATTTACCTTATTCTTTTAATTATTTTATATAATATTTACCTTATTCTTTTAATTATTTTATATAATAATAATCAAAATATTCACATTCATATGGGCGTTTTGAAAATAATATTATTGTATTATTGTTAAAATTAGCATCAATAACATTAGACTTGATCTTCTTAATTATATTGTTCATTCTCAAAGTAGAAAATTATATTGTAATTATTTTAATTTAATAAAATATAATTTAAATTTTTAATACTAAAATTAAAAGATTAAATAATAATGACTTTAATTCTTTAAATTGAGTATTTAGAAACTAAAATTATAGTTTCTCTGTTTTAAATAATTAAAATAAAAATCAATATCAAAACTAGTATTATCTTCATTTTTTTTGTTTCAAACTTCTCAATTCTACATTTTTGTAACTTCTATCATTATATTATCATCTTCATCTCATCCCATGTTCTACTTTATCTTTACAATAGTTAATATTCTTAAATAATCTATATTTTTAATTTTAAATTTCATAAATTAATACATTCTGATCTATTATTTGAAAAACTAATCAATTCTAATCAATAATTTAGAAAACTAATCGATTATAATTAATTATTTGAAAAAATTATCAAATATGATCGATCATTTAGAAAATATAATCGATCAGAATCGGATTTCGCTCGAGCGAGACTAGAGTCGCTCAAGCGAAATACAACCCGAGAATGCCAATTTTGTGCAGGGCGTTTCGCTCGAGCGATTTCATTTTCGCTTGAGCGAAGAACACTTTAATAGCGGTTAACGCT